ATTCCTGCAACCACTTGCTAGGAGGTGGCTCTAGTACTGGAACAGTCAGAAAATCCAATCAGAGACAACTAAAGTGCACTAAACATCTCTGCCAATACTCAGAATTTACACACTTAACACAGAACTAAAATAGCCTTTGTTTAATTAAGTAAATTAATATTTGTAAGCAACTAATTAAATTCACCTGAATTCCAGATTAGCTTTTCCACACACCAGTTTAATGGAATTTAATTAATCTATTTTAAAACATTAATTCAGAATAATTCTTGGGAGCAGTCCCTTGTAAGCAAACCTACTTACTGAAATACCTGATGGCTTTACAAAGTCCCAGGGCATCATTCCAAAGTGTACAACCAAAAACATCCAATACCTTGTTAACATAGAAAAACATGCACAAATCATAAGTCTTCAGTCTCATACTAATTAGCCAGGGTAAACACTATATTTTAAAAAACATTTTCCAAAGCTCCAGTCTACTTAGAGGGTTTAATTGAAGTTGACTTATTTGAGCAGCTAATCACTCCCCTGGCTGATATTTCTCAGTGATAAATTAAAAAACCTGCCCTTATATCTCAACTTGCACTATGACCAAAATTTACTTCTGATTGTGTGAAAAAGGCTAAAGGATACCACTTCACTCTGCCCAACCTAAAAGCCCCTCATGTAGTGATAAGAATGTATTTCATCCACGCACACATGTGCATTAATCCTCCAGGAGGAAAAGGAATTCAGGTTTGTGCAACTCAGGTTCATACACTCTGGAAGCAGTTCTGCAAAAGCAGCAAAAGGGCACTCTAAGTACAAACCAAAATTTTTCACATGATAGTCTGAACGAAGAATAACCGGCATGCCCAGGTTACAACCTGGGCTAACCTGGCAGCAGATCTCCTGCACTGACAAGTCTCTCGAGGTTTCACAGAACAATCTCTATGACCAGTCCCACAGAAAGAACGGGGAAACGTTTGTATCGTTTGATCCATGAAGCTACTCGTGGGCATGACAAGGTTCAGAACCCGACAATGCTCTGTTAGTCTTGCTCTGTGATTTGCAATATTTTTACAATCCCAAAGCCTGGCTTTTCTCTAAGACAGTCTCTTTAGTTGACAGCTGGAACAGAGCCGTCCTGTGCTAATTAATAATTCCCCAACAAGCCACATCGGTGCAAATGTTAATGCACTGCAACAGATGAGGAGTAACAGAATAAAAAGCAACAATTTACCAGCATGCAGGGTTAAACGCACTGTCAATACAAGAGCTACCAGCCTCCCTTATGCTCCAACTCTCTGAAGCTGCAGTTTATCAGAATATGAAGTTGAAAATGATCTTCAGGGGGAGGATGGAAGAAAAAAAAAAAAAAAGACCAGAATTTGCACTTCTTTATTACTGCTAAAAACTATAAAAGATTCTAGTCGTTCTTAGCATCTGTTTAGCTTTCTTCCTTTTTTTCA